GAGTGAAAAATTGAAGGGGGTCTGAATACTTTCCGTACCCACTGTATATATATATATATATATATATATAATAATTTGTTTTTTACAGCTTTTTTTGCTTTAGGCCATCTATTAAAATTAAATCCACAAACAAAATGTTAAGGTTTCAACTGCATTTGTCTGGAGAAAAAAAAAAAGCAGAGATTGTTTTTATTATAGTATTTTCAAAGCTTTCAATGTACTCCTATAAAAAAAAAAAACGAACCAAAATGAAAAATAATTTGTTTATCATTTCTGCACAGGAGAGACTTGGTGTTGTTTTCACCGTGGACGAAGCGGAGTCCAGCCCGGAGTCGTCACATGTCCTTCCGGACGCTCCTTCGTCGAAATTGCCGGCCGCGCCATTCTCAAGCCCGCCTCCTCTGCTCACTCTAACCCTTCCGCCGTTCCTCGCGCTAGCCCTTCATTACACCAAATACACAAAATACTGTTCTTTTTAGCAGCATCATATGACCCCTTTAAAATAAAAGGAAATATATATCGGTATTGGCATCGGCTATCGACGAAAATGATTTAAAAAATATCGGTATATCAGATATTGGCAAAAATCTAATATCATGCATCCCTGATTGCAACCAAAAATGAATATTCTATCATTTACTTGGTCTCATGTCATTCCTAACCTGTTTTGTAGATATTTTCGAAAATGTCTTTTATTTTTATTAATATTTAATTAATTATTAATATTAATAATATTTAACTGATTCTTTCGTGTTTCACAAAGGAAGGAAAGTCAAACAGTTTTGGATCCCTTCAAATGAAGAAGCATGGGATATCTGTGCAATTAGCAACACTGAACATAATTGCAATCTATTTGAGAATCACAACAGGGTCAAACAAAACAACACCGGCTCAAGCAATAACCAAAAATTCTGCATGGTGTCACTAGTGGTGCAGAAATTACACAGTTCACCTTGACTTCTAAAGCTGTGTAAATGGAAATCTTCTCTGTCCAGAAACAGCTCTAATGTTTCTTTTTCCAGATGTGCAATTGGGAAGACATCAGATAATGAAAAAAAAAAACAGATAAAGAACATCTGACTTTAGCGTGCAACGGCGCTAAGCACTGCTCCATAAGCCCTCTGCCTCCAATATTCAGTGTCTTACACCACCACTGTGCTTGGTATTTATAAAAGACTGCTGTTTCCCCATGTTTACGGTATGAGAACCACTTCATGTTCAGAGAAGCATCTGAGAGTTTGTGTTCACAACATGTGTGTAAATATTTGTCAAGGTTACCGTGTAGCAGAGCGGAAATCACATCTGTGTGTCAAAACCAAATGGATTTATACTATAAATGTGCACGCAGGTGATGGAAAATCTGTCTCAATGTCAAGGTATGCTTTTAGGCTAGTAGTGTAAAACAAACCTAAACAATCAAGTGTCATGAGGATGTAATGGAAAAATGGTGTTGGATCGCAATACATATGGCACTCTTTTTAGTATGTTTCAACAAAAATTGCTCTTTAAAACAAGACAACTTCTGTGTTATAAACATCAAGGGAAACTTGTCAAATGAATAAAAGAGTCTTGGTCTCATTAATGCATCACTATGCCAATAATTAATTCAGAGAACTCAAAAGTATTTGGGTCAAGGTGAGGACAACTCCAGACAAGCACTTAGTGAAGCATAAACAGCAGCTGCAAATCACCTGACAGGGGAGGTTAATACATGTGCTACTGTTCAGTTCTAGACTTCGACATACCTTAGACTAGTGCTGGGCGGTATACCGGTTCATACCGAATACCGGTGCGCTGCATGAGACAAAAAAGTAATATAGCCAAAACAACCGCATAGCCGCTCTTTAGTGTAGATGCATGTTGATTTTATCAGACGATGCCGTGATTATAAATGAGAGTGACTCCTGGTTAAAATTAAACGGGGTCGTGTTTAGTCACTATTTAGTGTGGTATTTTTTGACAATATTCACTCATCATGACAGTAAAATAGGGCATTCTAAGTCAATATACTGCAGTATTTCCTCTCTCAATCAGTAGAAAATATGGTTAACACCCGGTCATGCATGAAAAAAAAATACCGTCATGTACCGTGATATATATATCAATTTTTGGTCATACCGCCCAGCACTACCTTAAACTGCAAATCATTTATCGCTAGACAACGCAAACTAAATGTGAAAATTAACATACTGTTATAACAACTGGAAGAAGAAACAATCAAGTTTGCTGAACTGAAACTGATGCTTCAAGGTCTCGGGTGTTTTTTTAGATACTTCTACTTTCTCGGTTCTCTTCTTTAAAAGTAGTAGTACTTCAGAAAATTATTTCACCTCTTTGAAAACAAAGAATAAGCATGTGCATGATCACTGAAGTCTATGGGCCAATAATATTATTCAGTAAAATAATGTACATGATCTTTTTATTTTGGGTCCAAAATTATTTTCTCTGGATACTGACTGCATGTTACAGATTTGTTTTATGTCAACTGGAATACAGGAATACATTATCAATTAAGTAGAGCAACATTATACTCAGACTTACCTCTACAATGTCATCATCAAACAGAAGCCAGAAGCCATGACTCTTCACTATAGTGATATAATGACCTCGATTTGGACCACTACAAAAAAGAAAACATAATAACAAGATGTGATGAGCAGAAACAAATGACAATCCACAGCACTATGAATGGAAGAGAAGAATCCCTGGGTCACCAGAGAGAAGATTTTTGTTTCAGTGGAAGATCGATTTATGGAGAACAAAAAATGTACTTAAAATAAAAAGAAAACATATGCATGTATAATTCATTCATAATAAGATGCCTTTAGAAAATAGAGTACATTTTCATTTCATGCCTACTTTAAACATTACCACACAGACAATATACTGTGCTCTTAACTCAATACACAATCCTTCATCAAGAAAAAATGTACTAGGCCAGATGCAGATGAGTTTATTTCTTCTTCATCAAAACAGATTTGGAGAAATCTCTTCAATGAATCCTCTGCAGTGAATGGGTGCCATCAAGCAGCTGATGAAAGCAGCACAATAATCTACATGACTCCATCAATTAATGTCTCGTTAAGTGGAAAGCTGTGTATTTGTAACAAATTCATCAAGATTATTTCTTAACTTCAAACTGTTGCTTTTGGCTAAAATATGAGTACTCTATCCGTAATACTGCATTCTCCAGTGAAAAAAGTAATCTTGTCTGAATCAGGAAAGAGGTATGCACAAATCAATTAGCATTTACAAATGAAAGCAGTCTAAAAAAACAGTTCTAAACAAATATGTCAGTGGATTTTGATGTGAGAGGACAACAAGTGATGGACTTTTTCACTGGAGGAAGTGTTATTATGGATTATGGACTGGTATTTTGACCAGAAGCGATGGTTTAATAAAACGCCTGAATGATGGATTTGTTTTTTACAAACATACAGCTTTTCAGTTTATAGAGTCATGGAATACTGTGGATTATTGCGATGCTTTTATCAGGTGTTTGAACTCTCATTCTGATGGCACCCATTCGCTGCAGAGGATCCATTGGTGAGCAAGTGATGTAATGCTAAATTTCTCCAAATCTGTTCCCATGAAGTAACAAACTCATCTACATCTTGGATGGCCTGAAGAGGAGTACATTTTCAGCAAATTTTCATTTTTGGGTGAACTATTCCTTTGAATTGACTGTCACGTCAGAAACCTACCTCCCACAGTGCACCACTACAGCCACCAGGTCGTACAATCGATCAGGGTTGGTAGCATCACCAGAGGTGTTAAAGAGCCTCAGCTCCAGAGGGAAGACTACACGATAAGAGAGCTTGGTGTAGCGATGAAGCTGGTCCATATACTTAAAGCGCTTTAGGTGCAGGGCAAGGATCATGGGTAATTTCTTCACCCGCATCCTGCAAGTAAGAAGAGAGACAGGATCGATTTTAACTTGAAATTCCATCTCTATTCTCAGACTGCACGTTATTGGCCAACTTCCTGAGCAACTGTAATTGTTAAATGCTCCAGGATTAAAGGTGCTGTATGTAGGATTGACACTGAGTGGTTGAACTAGGTATTGCAGTCCAAATTCAAAATATTGGAGAGGGTTTTTTTCATCCGGCCCCTCCTCCTCAGACTTGACGCACATGCAGGTTGCCAGATTGACGACACCAACAGGAACGAGTGCACTTGATGATGAATGAAATGAAATACGCTGTGTTTTACGCCAACTGGCAACCTGGGGTCCCGAAATACAATTGGGTAAACTGGCAGTGTGCGGGTTTCACAAACCAAAACAGAGACCAACATTCCGGCCCGGAACGCACATTTTCAAAGGAGAATAACTGACTGTAGCATTGTTTTTCAGATAAACAAGTATGTTAACTTAGCATGTTTCTTAAATATCTGCAAACATATTATGGCATTTTTATGCTTTAGTAGAGTCAAAAACTTACATACAGCACCTTTAAAATCTCTCTCTTGGTGCACAGAACCGACACACTAATGCATTGAGTACAACACCAAGATGCATTCAGGAAGGAAATGCTACATAGACAGGGGCAGTCCATAGCATCAGGCTTACATTGCAGGGTTTCTGCAGACTTGAACAAGTTAAATTTAAGACTTTTTAAGACCTTTTTAATACCACCTTATATGAAATTTAAGACCTAAACCTGTAATGGAAATACACATTTTATTACATACATATATGTAATATTTAATGTGTATAAATTAAAAAGAAAACAAAATATCAATGCTGTAATAAATGGTATTTATTACTATGATATACAGTGAACTTTTCATGTCAGCAGACAATATTCCATACAAAATATCCCCGCAAAATAACTGCATCACTGAGATTTTTGGTGGAGTAAACAATTTATTCTGAAGCAATATTTTCATCAGTGTTCTATCAGCTTTTACATACTTAAAAACATCTTCGGTCTGTCCAATGATTGTAAAAAGTCATTAGGTCCGTCAGACTGAAGATATTTTAGCGGTAATGAGACCAAAAATAATTAAGACCCATCGAATCCGAATTTAAGACATTTTAAGACTTTTTAAGGCCTATATTAGGAAAATGTTATTTAAGACATTTTAAGACTTTTTAAGGACCCACGGACACCCTGCATTGGTTGATGTGAATATCACAGCAAATGTGCCTCCAGAACAAGAGTGATTTCAGCTATGCCAGTCTGTTGGAACTACATACCTTTTCTGAGCCTCCTGTTTACTTCTGCATTGCTCACAGTAGTACTTGTATTCACTACATAAGGTCTCTGTGTTGCTGAAGCCCCTGTTAGTGCAGAGAAAACATGTTATCTTTCCAATAAACAGAATTTGCACCAACAGGATATTTGTTTCAGTTACGTTTGTGGCTTTACCTAAGACAGTGTGTGATGGAGGTATTCTGCTCCACGTCCACTGAAAGGTCTAGGAAGTCTTCGTCTTTACTGCTCACCTGGGGAGAAAGAGGACAGATTGTATGATGGGAAATCCTAAGACTGCATATTATCAAAAGCAGCTAATTGGTGGCTTGTCTGAACGAATAGTCGCTCTCCAAAAACAGCTAGGCCATGTCCTAAATGCAACCATAAGCCCTAGTTGTCCTCCTCTGTGTCTACACTTCAATGATGTAATATCAAACTGTAGAGTAGCAGCATGCAGCAGAAAACACATCAACTCAAATCAGTATATCAAAGGTGTGTAATGGCAAAAAAGAGGGCACTCATGGCCAGCCTTCAAAATCATCAAATGAAAAATGAGTTTACATGTCTACTAGACGTTACGTTTAATAAATTAATATGAAAATAAATAAATAAATTGAATTAAATGTCTGTTCCATGAGTGAAGCACAGCACTGTTCTTTTACACGCAAGCATTTTATGATCCAGTGTTTTCAGTGTCTCAGAGCAGTTCAGCTTGCAGTAAATGTTATTCCACATAAAACTCATCTGATGTAATATCAAACTGTAGAGTAGCAGCATGCAGCAGAAAACACATCAACTCAAATCAGTATATCAAAGGTGTGCAATGGCAAAAAAGAGGGCACTCATGGCCAGCCTTCAAAATCATCAAATGAAAAATGAGTTTACATGTCTACTAGACGTTACGTTTAATAAATTAATATGAAAATAAATAAATAAATTGAATTAAATGTCTGTTCCATGAGTGAAGCACAGCACTGTTCTTTTACACGCAAGCATTTTATGATCCAGTGTTTTCAGTGTCTCAGAGCAGTTCAGCTTGCAGTAAATGTTATTCCACATAAAACTCATCTCTGCATGTGTAGAGTTTGAGTTGCTTATAATGTACATTTGGGAATGCAACAAAAGAGAAACCTGAATAGTTTCCTAAGGTTTTCCGCCAAAATAAAAGCTTTGATGGTTTAACATTTGAAAGACATCTATAAATATTAGTATTGTCATTTTACAGTAATAATGTAAAAAAAAAAGGCTATTAAATAATTTTTCATAAATACTTCACGTAAAAAAAACAAAGTCAAATATTACAAAATAGTAATATTTCATATTTCCTTTTACATTTTATTTGCCTCTACTAGTAATTTCTATAATTTTAGTCTACATATAATAATTTAATAAACATATACATATAGATCACAACATTTTGGGCCTAATTGTGCAGGCCTACAAACAAGCACAGCAAACATAAAGCTTTTTATAAAATTATTATAAAAAAATAATAGCCTAATAATAATAAATCACATTTTAAATCACAATGGCATTTTTTTAATACCTGAAAAATCCTCATCAGTCATTATAACACACCCCTACATCTCAGATCAGCTAAAACAGTTATTAACATATTCCGCAATCCAAACATTTAACAGAGTTCTTTGTACAGTGAAACACTGTTGAAAACTGTCCTCCCATCACATCCATACAATCCCCCAGATGCTGATTAGTCCAAGCCAAAGTGACAAAAACATATTCCCAAAAACTCACTCATCCCATATCTCATTAATAAAATCAAGAGCCCTTTAGGGTACTTCTGACTCACTCCACCTCCTCTGACTCACCGCTTCACAGTTCAGGCACCGTGTCTCATTGGTCAGTGTGCCTTGGAAGATCTCGTGCACCCATGTCTGCTGGGTCTTTTCCTCCGTTTCCCCTTCGCCTGTGCTGCTGCCGCTTCCACCTCCTCCTCCACTTCCACTTCCACCATTCTGTACTACCTTTCCATTCTGCTGTCTCTCCTGGCTCTTTTCCTCCTGTAGCATGTCTGCAATGGTGTTGAGCAAATAGTTGAGGAATTCGTGAGCATCTTGCTGCATGTAGTTGTCAAACAGCTCTGTAGGTAAAAAAAAGAAGTGTTGATAGCATCAGGTAGCTGCAAGTCTAATATATAAACAGTAGAAATGAACAGTGAAAAAATTATTTAATCATTTAATAGCAATGCATTTCAATCACATACACAGTGTTTCCCGCATAGCTATTCAGCAGTGCAGCTGAATCTACTGCGCCATGGTAAAAGAAATGACGTATTATGTCAGTTCCTAATTTGCAGTCAAAGCAAAACTATACAACGATAAATTGTGTTGTCTTTGCTGGCTGCATGCTGCATGAGCAGTATCTGGTTCATGACAAATGACTCTTATAAGCTGCTCTGTTATTGTTTTAATCAGCCAAACAAATGTAAAAACTGAATCCATAAGAGCAGTTGCTGTATTACTATCAAACTCACTTAATTGTGACAATGGTAACGTAACTTCACATCTGACTTGAAACGGACTGGCTGTTCATGTTACACATTCACAACAGGTTTAATTAAAACAGCATTGTGAAATATTTTTAGTTTCAAAAAAGTTTCTTTTATTATTGGCATATTTGTTTTATTCCTGTGATGTCAAAGCTGAATTTTCAGGAGGCATTACTCCAGACAGTGTCACATGATCCTTCAGAAATCATCCTAATAAAAATTTCTTATTATTACCAATGTTGAAAACAGTTGTACTGCTTAATATTTTTGTTGAAACCAACATTTCTGATAAATATAAAGTTCAAAAGAACTTTAAAAATCTTTTATAACATTATAAACGTCTTTACTGTCACTTTTGAACAATTTAAGGCATCAAAAGAAAATACTGACCCCAACCTTTTGGCATCTATCTTTATATCCATGTTTACATTTAGAATGTTTACAAATATATCAGAGCATGCATATTATCTGTATAGCAAAATTTCACGTAAGCACCTGCATAACATTCCCATTATCCCACATCTATAACCCCTCTCTCATCAGTCAGTCAGTCAAATTGCTTACTGTAGGACCCAGAATCTTTTCTCACCATTTTCTTTCCTCAACCTGGAGATGAACTTCTTTGGTGGAATGACTCCCACTTTCTTCTTCTGAGTTGCAATGCTGTTGAAGAGGTCAGCCAGGCAGGTTAGCAGGCTCTCTTTCCGTCGCGGCTGGATCTTATAGGCCAGCACTTTCTCCCGGAAGGGCCGGCAAAAGTACAGTGCCTGCAGCACTGAGTTACAGTAGCAGGTGTTGCCAAACTGAGCGACCAGATTGCAGTTGGAGAAAGAACAGATCAAAGATTGATGAAGGATATGTGATGACATACATGCACATATAATATGTGTCATATCTGCAATTAATGTCTCAGAGAAGGAAAGCAAATCATTGTTGGATATATGGAGCAGTTTTATTATTATATTTTGCTGCCTTTTATAAATACTTCCCAAATCTGCCATTAAGTGATGACATAAGCACATTACATAAAAAATGTGCTTTAAAAATTAAAAGTGATATGGCAAAGTAATCTTCTACTTATAGCACATTCACTGACAAAAACAATAACGTAAACTTACATTTACCAGCCCAAAGTAGTGTTCATTAACAGGGAACTGTTCCGGTCCAATCTCCTTTTCCAAAGCAGAGGCATTGGCGCCCTACAGGGAACAGCCACAATGGTTATATTTGCTCATGGGTCTCAATAATACAAGTGACCAGGAACACTCTGGACCTATTGGAGACTAAGAGGCACATCCTGTTTGTGAAGAATGATGCCAGACTTGGCATTAACAGGATGCAGTTGCTGGGCAAGTGCACCCACTCTGTTTCACCAGGGGAGAACATCAAGGCAGAGCTGTAAGTGGTATCAGTATCTGAAGTATAATGTATGAGTTCTCAGATGTTAAAAGGCCTAAGTCAGAGGTTCTCAAGCTTTTTGACCCGAAAGCCACCCCACTGTCCAGCTCCTTATTCAAAGACCCACTTCCAGGCATATAGGAGGAGATATTTCTGCTGCAGTTACGATAAAGCTATTTCTTTCCTTCTTTTTTAAACAGAAACTAAATTAATTAAACACAATTGAGAAATTTCAAAAACTATGTTCTTCAACAGGATTTATAGTTTTTATGTGTTTTAGCATTTTAATTTAGATTAGAGTTTTACTATTTCAAAAATATTCATAATAATTCATGATTTAAATACCTAAATACTGTAAATATTGTTTCTGGAAAGATGAATCATCAAAGGGATCTGATTCATCATGACTTAGGTAATCTGTTGAAAATGTAACTTTGCACATAATGTCAACCCAAGACTTGATTACCTTGATCCTAAGGCATAATGTATCAATAAATTTACTCAAACTAAAATTACTCAATTTATGAACAGCATTTTTTTTTTTACATAACTCATAGCTCTTTTACATAGCCACCTCAGGGTGCCAGTATGTACTAAGCGAAATCAACAAGATGTAAATCTATGTGTCTTATCTCTATAACTGGTTACCAGTAACTGCTGGTAAATAAGGAAGTTGCCACATAAATATCTTGCAATAGAAAGGATTCACTGATTGATAAGAATTAAATCTCCAACTAGAAGCTGTTCTATAACGGAACTCCCAGCAACGTTACCTACCCAAATAAATAAGATTTTAAATTCCAACAGTACTATGTACATAGAAAATACTCAATTTTATGTTCGTTGCGAGTCTGATCTACTGTGAATGTTCTCGTGTGACAGTTTAAGAAAACCCTTTCAGCACTACAAAGACACTGAGCTCATTGAATCGGTTTTTAGTTGTGTCCTTCAAATAATGTTAAAACAACAACAGAAGCAGCAGCAGGAGGAAATGTAGTCTCGTGCATGACCTCGCCTGTTACCCTGTCCACCCTTCCTCTTTACAAAACACTCCTAAACATACACATAGTATCCACATGACAGATATTATCTGATGGTAAATAAAGCTGAGCCGCCCGGCTAATCAAACATGGACATTATTTGTGTGTCGCTCGCTAATACGCTAGGCTATACATTTGACCCCTGAGCAGAATATCAAATTCTCTGACAAAAATGCTATAAAGTCCGTTTAACCACATCTCCAAACTTCTACTGCGTCTATAAACCCGGACAGAGAGGTGTGCAAACTTTTTGTGGCTGTGCTGCCATGTTCATGACACAGTTGTTTATCTGTTAGCTGTTGAGCTAGCCCTGTTAGCAGGCTAATCCAAACACAGGTTAGACGCAGTGGACGGGACAACACTCACTTATGCGAGGAAAAACTCACCATCGTACAAATCGAGGCGATCTTTCGGACTGTCATCAGTATTTCCATCCGTCTGCCGCCATGTTGGACCGAACCCCTATTTAAAACTGTGACAGCCGCACAGGCTGAAGTTCAGGTGAATCCTTCAGTCGGTCCAGCTTGCGGCGGAATGAGGGAGTGTCGCCTCGCGCGCTGTAGCCTAGCAGCTGCGCAGTACACAACACAACATCACCAAACCTACTATGGCGAAGGCTACTGTTCACATCAACTTTATTTTCAACATAGTTCACAAATACTGGGAAATTTAGCATAGAAATGACAAAGCACGGAATAGAAAAGAAAGGCTATGCAAATGTTTACGTCAGTTAGGTAAATATTTTAAGGGGCAATTTTCATTTTTTTTTTCTTTCACATATTTTGAAACATATTTTGTTACAATATATTTTGTGATAATTTATATTATCTGGGCTATATAGCCTAGTGTTTCATATCAGTGTAATGTTTATGGTATTAAAAAATACAATTAAATGTATTACATTAAAAAAAAAATCAACATTATTTAAATAATAATTTAGCCTATGATTACATGTCTTATAAATGTAACATCCCATGAACAACAAAAATAGTCTAAAATGATATCATATTAGTGCGAACTGGCAAAACGAAAATAAGCGTGAGACATTTTATAATTTCTAGATATCTAAAAAGAAAGAAAAAAAGGAAAGAAACCTGAAAATCTTTTTTGTTTTGTTTTGTTTTGAAAATAAATACATTTTGCGTTAGTAACCATTCAAAAAATAAGGGACATTTTAAATAAGGATTTACATGAATCCTTTTATTTCACGCATATTGTAAACAATTGGATATAAAGGCAGACAACGGTGAATTATGGATACTATGTGTAAAAAGGAATAGCCCCGAGTTACATTCTTTTGATGTTTTCATATTTTACGGCGAAGGCTTGTCGTATGAATATTAATTAGGTAATGCTGACGTTGCTTGGTAACCTTCCTATCACGTGGTCTATTTCATATTCATGAGTCCAATCTTCTTCATAGTAAGATTCGTATACACCCGCCCTTCTCTGGTTTCTCGACTTGTCCTCTAACGGTCGCAGAGTCATCTGTGCCACCGGGACGCGCAATGTTGCTTTTGACCGATGTATATGTTTTATAGATTCGCGGGAACCTGGACAAGGAGGAGAAGACGACAATGAGACGACCTTGAGGTCACACTGGCGCTCGGCTATTTCCGTGCTGTCTTTTCATAAACACACACACACACACACACACACACAACAAGAACAACTCACTACAAATATGAACTCTGGTGCACATCTGTTTGGAAGAATGTTATATCTGTATATCTTTTTTTATATCTTTTACAATATAAAGTTCAAGCCTACTGTTTAGACAAAATGTGTGATTTTAATCCTTTGTGCAATTGACAAGCATGAAAAAATTAATAGCAAAATAGTCAATTTCGACAGGTCTATGTACTTTTTTCCACACAAATATGCCTTCAGTTACCACAAGGCAGCAATGTTAAATTTATTTTATTTATTTATTTAGTCATTTAGCAGACGCTTTTATCCAAAGCGACTTACAAATGAGGACAACAGAAGCAATCAATTGTAAAAAAGGTTGGGAAACACTGGCCTAGTGAACCAAACTGAGAGACCATTTTGAAGGCTCAGGAAACCTTTGCAGGTGTTTTGAGTTGATTAGCTGATTGGCATGTCACCATATTCTAATTTGTTGAGATAGTGAATTGGTGGGTTTTTGTTAAATGTGAGCCAAAATCATCACAATTAAAAGAACCAAAGACTTAAACTACTTCAGTCTGTGTGCATTGAATTTATTTAATACACGAGTTTCACAATTTGAGTTGAATTCCTGAAATAAATGAACTTTTCCACGACATTCTAATTTATTGAGATGCACCTGTACATACACATTTATAAATTCAATATATACATTATTTCATTTCCATTTAGATTGTTGAAGTATTAAAATAACTCAAATAAAACTAAAACTTAAATCAGCTAACTTGTAAGCTATTTGCGTTATGAGGTAGGCTAACAGCTCTAGCGCGTATCTACACTTTACGATAGTGCTTCAAAAAAGTCATTAAATAGTTAATAGTAATTAAAAAGTCATTAAACAATATGCACATTCTTTTCGACATAGCACGCTTATTAATATATAAATGCACTTTTAATGCAAAAACATATTGTCAAAGTTTTATTAATAACAATATAATATAAATATAATACTCACATTTAGGCTAAGCATATAGCATTCAAATCTTATAAATGAATTTGGGTCTTGAGTGAGCTGGTTTATTCACGCCCCTCTTCCTTGTCCGCTTTTTTTTTTTTTCTTTTTTTTTTTTTGCTGAAGGCGCAGTTGCGATCTGGAAAGAGATCTTGCGATCAGGAGCTGCGGGTTGTGAACGGTTCGATTTAGCTGTGTTAGACTATATTAGTTACTTCATTAGAGGGCCGGTATGCAAAATTAACATTCATGTCGTGCAGAAGTGGAGCCAGCATTTGGGGTGCACTGGATTGCATTTATTATGAAGACCTCTGTCTGCCAAACGGAGATAACAGAAAGCTTCTCTGGCTCGTATAGCTCGAGAACGTGGAGGAAAAGAGATGCATTTCTATACAGTCGAATAGGCTAGTAGTTACAGCTTTCTAAATGCGTCTTCTTATCGAACAGCCAAGAACAATGAGCAGTGGCTCTAGCAACTTTCTGCTAGTGCCTATACCGGAGTATCCTGTACTAGACTGCGTGCCAAACAAAAACGTCAAAATAGTTGTTCTCGGTGCAAGCAATGTCGGAAAAACAGGTAAATATATCAAACAATGTGGCTTTTAATATGTAAAATAAAAATGTTCAAATAAATTTACAAGTACAAGTAATATAACTCATTTTACTTTATGCCATCATATTTTTTATTACATAGTAACTTATTCTAATGGCACTTTGGTGATTTAATGTTTATACGGTTTATTCTGTTTAAAGTCATTGATAGAGACGCTAATCCTGAACAAACGATGATGTTGGAGATATTTAAGCTAGTTTAACGCCAGGGTGCGACATACACTGGAACACTGCAAAGTTGTGCACGAGCTATGTGACAATGCTTATGCCTATTATGCTGATACAAAGTTTCTATTTGGTTTTAATTTTCAGCTCTGATTGTACGATTTCTTACTAAGAGGTTCATAGGAGACTATGAAGCCAACACAGGTAAACATTATAATGAAACAATGCTATTATACTATGCTCCTATGAACTGTAAAAATGTGTTCATCATCATGACATTTTTGTTTCAGACCGTTTTACTGGTTAGTGGTTACAATCATTTCTGTTATTCGTAATAAACTTTATCAGACTTTCAGCATTTTACACTGAAAATACACTGACGTTTATCATTTTAGTAAGTGGAATTTTTCTTTTTCAACATTCGTAGGAGCCTTGTATTCAAGGAAGATTAATTTGGATGGGGAGCAAGTTTCTTTACAAGTGCAGGACACTCCGTGTGTTTCACTCCAGGTACCGCCAAATCACATTCCTAACACTTCCTTCTGTCGTTCAGCTAAACCTTCATCAAAAGTAGTGTGCCCATGGTGTATTATCACAGTCATTTAGATCACTCAGTCATGATCGCCTGTGGGATTCCTGCATGCTTCAGATGAACTGTGGGGAATATTAGTTCAAACATTTGGCCAGTAAACAAAGTATGCAGTGCAGGGGAGATAAAGAGGGTGTGCTCAGCCATAAGCTCATTAGTCTGACTCATGTGTACTGAAGGGCTCTCTTCAACTGAATGAATCTGATCCTGGCTCAAGCGCAGTGTATATATAGGTGTTATAATGATTGAGAATTTACTTAGTTGTTATGTTAGAACTAACTTATTGGTAGTCAGCTTTATAATTGTTAAAAAACATATTAAACATATTATATCAGCAGTCATTCAAATAATTTTAGTTCATGTTATAGTTTTTTTCCATTGCAGTAAAATGATCAGTTCATTCACAAAATAATGTAATTATATATATATATTATATATATATTACACTTACACTTATATATATATATAAATTACATTACACACACACACACACACACACACACACACACACACACACATACACATACTACTGGTCAAACATTTGGAATCATTATGATTTTTTTTTTTTTAAAGAAGACTCTTATGCTCACCAAGGCTGCTTTTATTTGGTTAAAAATACAGTAAAAACAGTAAAATTGTGAAATATTATTACTATTTAAAATAACTATTTTCTTTACCGTATGAGATTTTGACGGTATGAAAACCTTAAGCAAAAATATCACGGTTTCACGGTATTGTCGTTACAGCTCTAAAATGTGTTATTTTTAAATGACTGGGTAAAAAAAAAAAAAAAAAATTTTCCACTCAACACAATATATTTTGTTTTTGAGCAACATACAGCATATTAGGAACAGAGTAGAATTTGTTTATTTTTTATTTGATTTGTTTCCTAAAAAGAAGAAAAATAAAGACTGACATTTTTATTTAACCTAAATCTGTAATTACAGTTATTTAATTTTAGTTATATAATTCATATACATATCATATATATCGTTTCATATCATTTAGTTATATCATTTGATATACATAATTTGTAAAATTATACTACATGCCTGAAGTAAGCAAACAGCAGATGCTCTGAATGAGATGCAGATTCTCTCTCTGACAGCAGGAGGCGCTCATGGAACACCAGATAAGGCGTTTCCTTGGTTACCGCTGTACACAACGAAGCGCTGCGCAGCTGTTGATGTGGATGGTTGATTTGCTGCTAGAGCTACTGCTGCCCTAAAAAGAAGAAAAATAAAGACTGACTGACATATTTATTTAACCTAAATCTGTAATTACAGTTATTTAATTTTAGTTATATAATTCATATACATATCATATATATCGTTTCATATCATTTAGTTATATCATTTGATATACATAATTTGTAAAATTATACTACATGCCTGAAGTAAGCAAACAGCAGATGCTCTGAATGAGACGCAGATTCACTCTCTGACAGCAGGAGGCGCTCATGGAACACCAGATAAGGCGTTTCCTTGGTTACCGCTGTACACAACGAAGCGCTGCACTGAAACACTGCTATCTGAACTATACAGAGACGATTTGGAAAATGATTGCATTGCAACGCAGTTTGTGCAAGTCCAGAACAGAGACGAGCTGCAATAAGACAAAAAACGCGTTAAGTTCCAGGGGCAGCTCCTTAAGGAAACCGGTAATCGGCCCATGCCTAATATTAATATTACTCAGTAATATTACTCAGCAGGGGCTCTGCTATGGTTTGTGGGCCCCCTGAACAGCATATTTACTCGGGCCCCCACGTACCGTGGGGGGTCGCAGTCCGGTAGGTGGAGGGGTGGATGTAGTTACCCGGCACCCCTGTTACTCAGTATATAAATATATAATTACACTGTAACAATGACACCTTAAAATAAAGTGTAACCCAATTTTCACCCAGAAAGTGCTAATAAATTTCATAAACAATGTTATATAAAATTGGAATAAAAACACCAGTTTTCTCATTCCAGGATGACGCAGAGGGTCTTTACTGTCAAGAGCAGATCAACCGCTCCATTTACTGGGCAGATGGTTATGTTCTTGTCTTCTCCATAACTGACCCCAACAGCTACCGTACCATCCAGCCTCTCTATCAACATGTGCGGCGAATCCATCCCAGCGCCAACATCCCTGTTATCATTGTGGGAAACAAGAGCGACCTGCTGCGTGCCCGGCAGGTCCCGGATCACGAGGGTAAGGCGCTGGCTGATGAATTGGGAGGGCCCTACTTTGAGGCTTCGGCCAGGGAGAACCATGAGAGCGTCCAGGCTGCTTTTCTGTACTTATGTCAGGAGGTTAGCCGAGCGCTGGCAGGAGGAAATGGGGAGAAGAGAAAAGGTGGACTACACCTTGCCAGGCCAAAGAGCCCAAACATGCAAGAGCTGAAGAGAAGGTTCCGGCAAGTCTTGTCTTCCAAGGTCAAGTCAGCGACTGCACTATGAGGATGATATGATTGACGAATGTGACTGTATAGGATTCAGAAAGTTTTAACAAAATGCTGTTGCATAAGTGATTGTGAAACACGAGGCAAAACAATGAAACTTGCCAGCTGATTTTGCAAGTATAGATGAGCAGTGAGATCACTGTGCTCTGGATGAACTGTAACATGGGACTCCTGGCACTGAACTTCTAATGGTTTTAAGGCCAAAAATTGTGTTTTCGTTAAATTGTTTAGCTGCTTTTATGCAAATGTTTCCTGGTTTTCCGGGATTATGATTAATTTCTTAAATTCAATTGTTTAATGTGAAGCAAGGATAAAAAGATTATTTTTGACCAAGGCCATTTATTGTGTATATTGAAAGTAACAAAGTAAGACAAACATACTGAAGGGCCATTTATTGGACACATAAGATGATCACAGTCTATTCCTAAGATTCTCATGTGACTGGAGCAGTTTTACAAAATGCTGTTCTAGGATTATCCCATCTTTTCCTGACAGTGAGAGACATAATCCAGTTATGTTGTTTATAATCGTGGGAGGAAGAGGTTGTTGACTGGTGGTTCCCATGACCTTTGACCTACTTACACTGTGTCAAGGATTTGAGTGTACTATGGAGGTTCGTAGACGGTCTCCTTCGCTTTTTCTTTCAGATGTCCCACTCGCCCACTCAAAAGGACATTTGTTTATCTTGCAGCACAGATGAAGTAGCATTCCTCTGAAGCAGGTCTGGAGATTCCTGGACTAAACTATTGGTCATGCACCCAGTTAGTCATTGACCTCTAACCTTTCACCTCTGATATAGTCTACCATTTTCCTCTCTTCACTCAATGTCCTAAATGAAAAGCAGATTCAGTAAGTGACTAGCCTTGAATTCTCTGCTCTCGGGAAAGTGAGAGCATGTCCATTTCCTTATACTTTGGCAAAGTAAAAGACTGGTAAAATATACAGTATATGCTGTGGTGATTTGATTTCTTTCTCAACAAGCATTTGCCTTCTCTCTTCATCTCTATCTTTTACATAAACCCCCAATATTTTCAAAGACTTTCTTGTGTCAACATCTCAATTTGATTTCAACTGAATTTTTCTCAAATTCTCAAATCGTTGCAAACTAGAGAACTCTCAGTACTTGCTGGTTGATTGGCAGTGTTACAAGTCCACGAAACTATTACCATTTTTATAGGGTTTTTTGGCACTTCTTTGTCATTTTAAATATGCAAATCTAATTCAGCTGTGGGTATCTAAATATTCCACAGTAATAGTAGTTTCACGAGTATTTCTGATCAAGAAAGGCTTTAAAAGAACTTAAATATGTATACACATTTGCACCTAAAATGGAACTAGATTACGCTTGGTCAGTTACTTGATAAAATAACACAAACAGTTAAATAATTATACTGACATACACTGTCACTTCAGACAGAAAATATCCACATAAGCATACCAGATGTAGATAGTTCCCTGTAAAAAAAATGTCCTCATCAAGCATAAGACAATGTTGTGTACACAATTATTACGCAGCTCTAAAATACCAGATTCTGATTGATCAGTCCTGTTGTGCCATTCAGCGATAAGATATTCCTTAAAATTCGATGTTGTTCATGAAAACGCTTCATATTATTCCACTTATTGTGACATTGATAGTTGATTGTTTTGTCCATGTTTGTTTTCTTCATGGGGTAAACAGTTACAATTCTACAATATCTAAACTCAAATTTCATGTACACGTATTTCAGTATTTGTTTGGTAAATAAACGTACTTGGAAAATAACGTACATTTGAATAAGTGTTTGCCACACCATTTTAAGACAGTTAAGGAATGTTACCTGGCCTGACCTTAACATTTAAGTAGGCCTACAATTACAAAAATCAGAGGGATCTGGTGCTGGATTAGACCACAAGCCTGAATCAGTGGCGCCTCTCCTTTAGTTTGCGTGAGACAGATTTAATAAACCATCTCCCTGATATTATGAATGGCTTCCTGTTGCTACTATGGCCTGCAAAAACTGAGAAAGATGGGACTTATATTGTCCTCTGACTAATGAGGCGTATGAGCTGGTGTTTGTCCTAATTATGGTTCTTTTGGGAAAGCTGGTCAAGGAAGTTTGAATTCTTATTGTTATTAGAGGAGAAACAGCTGTGACATGAAGTGGTTAGAGACACTTTTTTCCTCATCTGAGCTCATTACGTTATCACAGCCACAGGAAGCATGACCAAGGCCATTCCCAAAGGAGGACCGGGGATGGAAAGAGGGAGAAAAACAGAAAGAGAAAGGAAAAAAGGCAGTGAGGCAGAAAGCTAGAGGGAGAGAAAGAAAGAGTGCTATTAATGAGAATAGAAAAAGACAGAGAGAAGTCTTCCGACAATCTTTCAACCGATCCCTTTCAGAGTGACAAACGTCAATGAGGTTTGAGACCTGCTAGTTTCTGTCAGGAGAACCTCTGTCAAGACAGTATTAACACATCAAATCACATCTATCGTTTAATTGCATTTTGAATACAGGGATGTACGTTCACAGCTGTTTTCATATTTGTTCAGTTTTGGAAAGAACACCAAGGGAGTGATTCATGTGCAGCTGAACTCTTCAAGAGTCACCCTAATAATGTTTGGTTTAGTCAATGAAAATTCTCTCTAAACATTGTAACTGCATCCGTCCTTTTACATTTGAGGTCTGGCATTTTCTTGCTGTTCCAGCTCTTTCAAGGATAAAAGAGGTGAAAATCTCTTTCAGATTTTGCACTGTACTCTGAAGATTCACTAAAAGTTCAAAAAATGTGGAGAAATTACCATTCTAAGAAACATAATATTCTGAGAGAAAAGTGAAGCACAGGATGCACCTGGTCAAATAATATGGTTGTTATATACTGTACCATCATACAGGTGCATCTCAATAAATTAGAATGTCGTGTGAGATAGTGAATTGGTGGGTTTTTGTTAAATGCGAGCCAAAATCATCACAATTAAAAGAACCAAAGACTTAAACTACTTCGGTCTGTGTGCATTGAATTTATTTAATATACGAGTTTCACAATTTGAGTTGATTACTGAAATAAATGAACTTTTCCACAACATTCTAATTTATTGAGAATGAGATGTACCTGTACAGAGCGGTCATCAGACCTAATGGCTCCCACGAGATGGCTGTCCATACCATTACGGATCACCCACCATGTTTAACGGCTGTCTTTGCCCAAACTTGAACCATCTGGATGCAGACCAGTACTTGGTAGGTTACCGCATGTTGGCTTTGAATATGATAATAGTCTCCAAAAATCAGCCCAACAGTGTTGAAACTTAAGGCAGAGTTTGTAGAGACTTGGTCAGAGAGGTGCAGATTCAGTTTGCACTCATTTTTGTCTAGTATGGTATTTAGCAGCTGTCCTCTGATGCAGTGGCATCCCAGAACATTGTCAGAACTTTGACTAATGTTCTGGCAAAGTCATGAACAAAATGTCTTCTAGTAAGGTTAATACAATGTTCATTTAGAGTTATCTGGTCTTTAATAATGTTCTTGGAATTTTAGCACAAAGGCATTATTATAAATCATTCATGGAATGTTTTATTTTTGAAACAGTTTGTTTTTAAAATGTGCTACTTGTTTCAGAACATTCCGAGAACGTTCAAAGTAAAGTATCAGAAATAATATTTTTCATATATTAATGGGAAAGTTAGCAAAACATTTGAATTTTCTCGCTTAGAACACAAAAGGGTTTTTTATCAAAATGTTTAAGCTGCTCTTTTCCATACAGAGAGAATGCATTGTGATCACATGATCATGTTGCAATTTTTCCTTGGTTCATGAACCCAGATATTAGTTTCCTTGGTTATATCTTTGTCATCTCGTTTTGCTGGGCACCATGTATGCCAGGACTGGTGCTTCTTCTTCTTCAAAAATAAATAAAAATAAATTAATTAATTATAATAAAATAAATAAAGTGCAAGACACTCCTGCTGTAAAGTGTCCTTAGCCATGATTTTGAGCCAGAGCAGCTCATCTATATTTGGCATCTGCCCTCAGTAGTTTTTCTGACTTGACACATTACAGGTATTGTAAGCATAATAAAATAAATCACACACAAAAAATAACCCTATACTAAAATAACCCATATGATAAACAGCCTTAAAAACAGCAATAATAATAATAATAAATCCTTGTTTCATATCAGAAATGCTCTCTATCAACCACTGTGTGCATTCAGGTTTTATTTTTTGTCTTTTTTATGGCGTTTAGCGAGAGTGTGGGGAAAAGTTAGCAATTAGCTAAAATCTTTAAATGTATTTTGTTATTTTGACCAATTCACATTTATTTTGTTTGTTAATAAATCAGTTGTTTGTCTTGATACAGTAACTTCTTTGCTTTGCAGACCTTACCTGCTCTTTGATAAAAACTTACCTTATTGACATTTACAGACACATTTGTAATTGTGATCTAATGTGATCTAATGATCTAACTGTGATTCAAATGTGTTTTTTTTTCTCAGTAGTGCAGCTGTGCAACTGCCCATATGCTGACAAATATATACAAATACTTTCTTATACACATATTCTTCAATTTCACATACAAATACATCATATTATAAATGTGTGTTTATGCACAGCCTATATCAACACATGCACACACATAAAGAACAGAACTGGATCACTGGGCATTGTTTTAAAGCTGTCTCCTGGTTACTACAACAGAAAAGATTCATAGCAAATCATTGAACTCCATCTGTTTTTCTTCTAGACTATATGTGGCATTAAAGTATTACATAAGCCTCATCATAACCAGTCAACAATCTAAGTCTGGAATGATTTAAGTTTCCATTCCTTATTATTCTATGATATAAATAGTTATGTGTGTTTTATTTGCTATTCTGGAAGGCATTTTAATGTATAAATAGTCCGAATCAAAAAAAATTGAATTTTGAGTATGTAGATCTAAATACCACGACTTGATCTGCAACTTCTCCAGTTTGTCACCAGAGGTCATCCTTTCCACAATATTATTAATCATTGTCATCACGACTGACTTACGTTACCTTTGAGTGTATCAATACTTGTTTATTTACTTATCTTATAACTTTGAAAGTATTCAGAATTCAAGCACGCAGTGTGTGCTTTTTGTTAATTTTCTCTTATTTTTTATACTCTACATTTCTAATACTTAGTTAATGCGGTACTTTACTAGTTACTGGAAAAAAGTTACTTGTAATGCGTTACCCCCAACACTGCTTAGTTTAGCCTAAGTAAACAATGCGCAAGAACGCTCATCTGTCTGAATGACTGGTGACGGAAGATTTGGATGGCAGCGAGGGAATGTTGTGAGACACTAATATCTGCCACAGCAATCTTTCCATATTCATTACCTTTGACATGTGAGTGACACATTTCTCTGTGCCTCTCTCCTAGAGATGACCGCAGTGACGGCAGGTCAAGTCTCGAGGGGGAATTATGAGAATTATGGATGAGAAAATCTTCCATGAGCTTTGACTGAGCACATATGGCATATGGAAAATTTCTTAGACAAGTCAAGTCAAGTCACCTTTATTTATATAATGCTTTTAACAATACAGATTGTGTCAAAGCAACTGAACAGCATTAATTAGGAAAATAGTGTGTCAATCATGCAAAATGACAATAGTAAACACTCATTTTTCAGTTAAAGACAGTTCATCATTGAATTCAGTGATGTCATCATCCAGCTCAGTTCAGTTTAAATAGTGTCTGTGCAATCAAGTCAACGATATCGCTGGAAATGAAGTGTCCCCAACTAAGCAAGCCAGAGGCGACAGCGGCAAGGAACCAAAACTCCATCGATGACAGAATGGAGAAAAAACCTTGGGAGAAACCAGGCTCAGTCGGGGGGCCAGTTCTCCTCTGACCAGACAAAACCAGCAGTTCAATTCCAGGCTGCAGCAAAGTCACATTGTGCAGAGGACTCATCTGGTTCCTGTGGTCTTGTCCCGGTGGTCGTCTGAGACAAGGTCTTTACAGGGGATCTGTATCTGGCGCTCATCTAGTCAAGGCTTTACTAAAACATT